TCTTCCTGATCATTTTTTACAGAAAGGAAAAGTGCCTTTGGTCGATTATATGGAGTTGTTTAGTGTTGTCTACAGTCTTCTAAATGACATAATTAAGTACAGGCTTTAGATATAATTATTAGTGTATATATTATTATTTTAAAATTCCTAGGTGAGTTATAAACATTATTGTAATAATATGATAAGTTATGTGATTTCTCTATTCTGACCACTGGAAATTAAGAATTAAAGCTTTGATTAGAAATTAGAGTCTATATATGTGACAGGCATTAGTATAGTTGAAACTGTGAGAGTATTTCGGTTTACTGAGATAGTTTATGTGAGAAAGCAAAAGACCTAAAACAGTCTTTTTTCAGTATGCATTGTATTCTAGACTTTTTAAGGTCATTCTTTCCATATTTTCTCTTTTTTTAATGAGAAAGCAGAATGATTCAAACTGGGTATAACTATATTAAAGGCCATGAACCTAGCTTTGCCTGACAATAAAATTCATACTCTTATTACTAGATTAAACTTCCTCCTGTTTACAGTTTAATCTAGTAATAAGATGGGATTAAAGAGGGAGGATCTTATGTAAGTAAGAAAGTAATCTTTTTCCTACAATCTGCTTTTAGCCCTTACTTTCCTCCCATGTTGAGAGCATTTCTAGTCTAAAGTTCTTTTTTTTAAGCCATTAAGATGTATTATTCAATCTAAAGTAACTTTTAATCCCTTTGTAAAAATATTAGCTCTTTAATTAGACGTGGTATGCCTCACCAGCTGTCTCCAGCATAGTTTTGGGTAGGCATTAGTATGTTAATATGGAACTGGTTTATAATCTTAATTTCAAAACATATTGGAAGGCAAGTTTTATGAATAGTATGAAGAGACTTATATGACCTGTCAAATCAATTCATAAAATTCCTGTTTTGAAGGGGAAATTAAAAGCCAAGGTAATGGAAAGGTTATATTCGTGTATTCGCAGGAGATGAATGACATAGATAGGATGTCTTCGAAAGTTAATGAGAAAGCTACTTGCCAGGCACGTTCAAGAGCAATGTTAGCAAGTGAAATGGGTTGCTGCCTTTGGGGAAATGATTTATGACGATGAAAACCATCTGGGTTTAGGAGGTTGGTTGATTGTGACATACCTCTCTTCTAGCCTTTCCACTGTCTCTTCCTTCCTGTGTCCAGCACAAAATCAGCCTTTGCATATGAAGAGCACTATGCAAGTTGGCTTCCAGTCGTACGAATATGTGGTATGATTTCAAATAAGATTGTCATTGGATGCTTAGGCCAGCCAGCATATTTACTTTAGATTTGTATTTACTTACTCTTTGTAGTTTAACTGGATAAACTCTAACAAAGTATACTTAATCTGACCTTAATAAAATATTGTATTTCCAAAGACAGTATGTAGTATTAGCAGAAGGTGTGATTTCTCTGTTTGCATAAATTGGCTCTTCCCTTCTCTTTCTCTGTGTTTTTCACATCTCCCTGCTGTCATATATATTCTGACCTGCCTCTGGTAGGGCTATTTATGTCATATCCATAATTGTTATATATTAACCATTTGAATGTGGAATAAGGCAAATACAGTTTGTTAAACTTTTTTATATAAAAATATGAAATCTACTGTAAATGAGTTATCTTAATCACAGAGTAGCTACCTCTGGAAGCTGTAATCCTTGGTGTTGGGCTGTAATGCTACAATCTTAAAAATGAAGAAGACAAAAAGACAACCCTCTATGTGCTACTAGAGAAAGGCTACAGTTAAAGCCACACTGCTTGTCACTTCATATTCTTCATGCCTTTTTAACGACCTTCCTTTTGGGTGATGCATTTTGTAGCTGTTGTCACTTGTACAGTGGAGAAGGAAAAGGAAATGAATAATGTGATTTGAAAGGGTGTAGAGGGATGTGAATCTTAGGAAGATCCTTAGGATTTACAGAAGCTATAAAGCTATTTGTGCTGCTTTGTGGTGCTTTGCACTCTGTGTCACTTAATAGTTCATCTTTACCCCATTTTATGCTCTAAGATATAGAAAATGTCTTAAAAATAATTCTCATGGTCTTCTTCCCCCAAGTCCCACCCCAAGTTTTCTAGCTCCTGACCAGCACTGTTAGCTTTTTTTATTTAATCTTCACAGTCTTCTCATTTATGAAATACAAAATGAATGCTGTGTCAAGATAGACTTGGAAAAATCTTTCAAAATGACAATACAGGCTCACCTGCAATTAAAGTCATTTCCATTCAATTTAGTGTCTTTTTCTTTTTGAGACAGGGCCCCACTCTATTGCCCAGGCTGGAGTGCAGTGGCAGGATCATGGCTCACTGTAGCCTTGACCTTCTGGGCTCAAGCAATCCTCCTGCCTCCACCTCCCTAGTATCTGTGACCACAGATGCATGCCACCATTCCTGGCTATGTATTTTTTAATTTTCAGTAGAGACAGGGTCTCAATATGTGGCCCAAGCTGGTCTCAAACTGCTGGGCTCAAGCAATCCTCCCACCTCAGCCTCCCAGAGTGCTGGGATTTTGGGATCCCAGATACGAGCCACTGCACTTGGTTCCACTGAGCTTCTGATGAGTTTAAATATTAACTTTGAGGTCAGTTCACAGTTTGTTGATATTATGACAGATTTTTTTAAAGTTATATTTCACTTAATAGTGGAACACCTTAGTCAGGAAAAAAAAAATCTCTTTATTTATAGAATTAAATTTGTGAACTTTTGTGAAGTGCTTTTTTATCCTTTTAAATATGCCACATCTATCCTGTAAGTACAATAAATATTTCTAAATGTCTAAAGCAAAAAAAAATTATAAATTAATGAAAACATTTCCTGATAAATCAATTTCTCAATGTACATTATTCAGATAAAAATAGCTGAAGAACTAGCTAAACAGGATTAGTGAAATTGAAGGCCAAGAGATGCTAGAAATTAGTCAACCCAGGTTTATGGAAGATCTTACTATATACTCTGTAATATTAAAAACTATTTCTAGGCTTAATTCACTGATGGAATTATGGTATTTTGGTTGTTGGAATTATCAACTGTCTGCAACAGTATGAACCAACAAGAAAATAGTGCCCTCTATGAGTAGGAGGCAGGGGACAAGAACCAGGGGACAGTAGGAATGGACCAACAGCGTTGGTTAGTGGCACAGACCAATTCAAATAATATATTTTATGTGAGATTTTTTTCCTTACCAGCAGTTTGTTGATGAGGCAGAATTAAGTCAAGAAGAGAAATGTACCTTCCCTATCTCTGTCCCTGCAGTTTCATTAAATTCTAACCAAATGATGTAGCTCAGCATTTTCAGAGAATAGTCTCTGACAGGCAACACTTACAGGAGACAGACCCACACCTTCTAGTATGTGATTCCTAAAATTCTGTGTGTAGACTGGCACCCAGCTAGCCACATAAAATTCACCAGGGGTGCTTATTAAAAATGGAAATTCCAAAATCTCACCTCCAGAGATGCTATTTTGGTGGGCCCTGAGGACATCATGTTTTTGACCAAGTTGCCCAATGCCTTTTTGGCTTAGTCAAAAGCAAGAAGTACAATGTCTTTTTGTGCTTCTTGGTTTTGACCAAGTCACCCAGGTGATTGTGGTGCAATGCCTTTTTGTGCTTCTGCCTTTTGCGTTGGTTTGCCCAGCCTGCACCAGGTCAGGCAGCTCTATGAGCTGCTGCCATCAGCCTGTGGATGTTCTCTCCTCTTCATAAATGAGATCTCCTCTACTCTCCCAAAAGTCTCATTTTCTTTTGAGACTCTTTCCCTTGTTAGCTCTTGCTTGTCAAGAATGGAATGGGGAAATCATTTCTTATGAAGGGAGTTTTTCTTTGGCTTCTGGTAACTGACAGAGTGAACAGATTTCTTCACTGTGCCTTCTCCCACCTATTCCAGAGCTGTCACTCAGGAGCACTGCTTAAGGCCATGCCCTGCCTTCCTTGTGTAGAGGGCTTTCTGTGACCAGCAGACAGTCAAAGACATCATATCTATACACAGCTGGCACATTGATGAAAACTACCGGTGTTTGACACTTAGTATTTATTTGTACCTTTTCCTAAATATTTATAAAAAGTACTTTTCTCTTTTATATGCCACATCTGACTATGTATGTTAGGCTTTTTGTTTTGTTTTTTGAGATGGAGTCTCGCTCTGTCACCCAGGCTGGAGTGCAGTGGCACTATCTCAGCTCACTGCAAGCTTCGCCTCCCGGGTTCATACTATTCTCCTGCCTCCCAAGTAGCTGGGACTACAGGTGCCTGCCACCACATGCGGCTAATTTTTTTGTATTTTTAGAGACAGCGTTTCACTGTGTTAGCCAGGATGGTCTCCATCTGCTGACCTCATGATCCGCCTGCCTTGGCCTCCCAGAGTGCTGGTATTACAGGTGTGAGCCACCGTGCCTGGCCTTGTGTTAGTTTTTATGATATCTATGTTAGTACTGCAAAAATGTCTAAGAAAGTGGACCTTTCTGCCAGCACTACAATGTCTCATGTTGAAGGAGGCCTCATAGTTAGGAAGACAACTGTTAGCAAAGCCCTTGTTTCTCTCATGACCCACCAGTGTCTGGCATATCTCAGTGCACTCTTCATGATGCTGTTGGGAGACATGCGTTGAAGCTCTAAGTTAGGCCTATGGTTAAAGTCTTCTGGCTCATAATGATAAAAGACATTATTGTAGGCAGTTAGAACCTGCTAAAGGACAGAGACATGATGGATTGGAGTCTGAGATAATGTAAGCTGTTTAATAAAGCGAAAATAAAAGAAAATCAAAACTTTGCTTTACCTATTCATTTTTAAAATAACCAAGGCATACCCCCTTTGCTGTCTTAAGTTTCAGACAAGGGCACACCCTCTACATTCATTCCTTGGTGGCTTTACATGCATTATTTGCCAGGGGCCATTAGGTGCTGTGGGTGTCTTCATCCCCACTTTGGTGCTTTGTCAAGACTTCAAGCATCCCCGTGAATATACTTTAATCCTTCCCTTTTTTGTGTTTTGTTTTTTAGGTAAGTACTTTTGGTATTCTTCTTCCTTAATGCTGAAAGAAAATGCAGCTGCCTGATGTAGAACAAATGGCTTTTGAAAGCAAACACCAAAAGATAAAAATAATGTGAACGGTAAAGAATGACATGCTACCAGATACCGGTAAGAATTTTAAGCGGCATTCAAACACCCCTCTCTTTTCGGAGAGAGGACTAACAGTACAGGAAGATGCAGGGAGGGTGGGGAGGGATTGTCGCCGTGCAAGTAAAAAGAAAATTACAGAGAGTGTTCATGAAATATTCATTTACACCTGCTTATTGGTTAGATGAACAGCCTTTGGTTCTGAGCTGGCTCACCATTCCCAGGCTGGAAATTATTCACTTAAATGCAACTTTTAAACATTTTCTTAAAATCCTCAATGGAAACAGATGTGCGCATGCTGAGGGAACTTTTTTGATCTGTTTCTAGAAGAGGGTTAAATTAGAAAAAAAGCCAGTATTTTTAATATTTAATTTCAGGTGTATAGCTATGAAGCTATATACTTAAATGCTTTGTAACATATGATCATGAATATATGTATAAACTTCACCCAGAAAAATCCATAAAGCTTTTGATAATAAATGTGTATAATCTGGATAAATGAAATACCAATGAACGCAAACATAATTTATTTCATGTTTTATGTCTTCTCTTTCTCATTTTCTATGTACGGTTCCTGTGTACTTATGAAATAACATACAAAATACAATTGTATTTATAATGATTCAATGGTATTTTGCCCAAATTCATAGTCCTTTTTTATATGGCCGTGGATTTCGAGATTTAAACATATATGGTAAATAGTATGTTTCTGTTAACTTCAGCATAGCCCTTTTAGTAACAAGACATTGTTACTATAAATTGAGATTATCTATCCAATGTGAGTAAATACATTATTAAAAATACGTTAACATTTAAGATGAACAAATTGCAAAGGTTAAAAGGTTTCAGAGACCATTACCTGTTACTAAATCATTTCTCTCTCCTGTTTACTATTCTTATCTCATTGAGTTCCCTGCTGTCCTAGAATATCATCCCTCTGTCTCTGCTTTATTTAGGTTTTTTCTATATTCAACTCAGACCCTATATCATGTACAAAGCCTTCTTCAAGTCTTTCAACACAGACTGGTTTATTCCTGCCCTAAAATCATTTTTTAATGGAATCCATGTGTTAATTTTCCGGGGCTGCCATAACAAAGTGCCACAGACTGTGAGTGTAAATGGTACGAATTGATTTCCTGATAGTTCTGGAGGCTGGAAGTCTGAAGTCAAGATATCAGCAGGGTTGGTTTTTCCTGAGGTCTCTCTTCTCAGCTTGTACATGGCCATCTTCTCCCTGTTCCTTCACAGGGTCTTCCCTCTGTATGTGCCTGTGTCCTTAGCTCCTCTTATAATGACATCAGTCACATTTGAGTAGGGCCCACACTTAGGACCTCATCTTAACTTAATTACTTCCTTTCAACCCTGTCTCCAAATATAGTCACATTTCGAGGTACGAGGACTTCAGTGTATTGATTTTGGAAGTGTATGTATAAGGACTTCAGCGTATGAATTTTGGAGGTATATGGTTCACCCTGTAACAGTCCATGTTAGTTTCTCACTTCATTATTCTCTGATTCTTCCATGCATATTAGTTCTATCTCCCCTAACAAGTTCATCAAGGATAAGGACTGATCATATTTTAAGTTTTATTTATTTCGTTCACAGTTCCCAGTGGGCCGGTATATAATATTAAATACTACATATTTGTTGTTTGAAATTACTGGAAGAAGTAGTGTAACAGGACCAAATGAGAGTCTCTTTTTCCAATTATTGCTGACTTTAGCTCCCTTATCTGGACAGAAAAAAACAGTAGCAGAGGTTTGGGTCAGGCAGTGGTCAAATGAACTGTCTCTGCTTTCTTTCTGGGAGGCCCATCAGCATTCTGGTCAGCAGGGGCATTCTGGTGAAAGGAAATGCTGATCTCTGCAAATGGGCAAAAGTGTAAAGAGCATTGAGCCCAGCCTCATACCACAGAAAACAATTTGGGCTTGTAGAAAATAATTACCTAGTGAAGAGTCTTCTGAACTAGAAGCAGGTTTTTGGAAGGGGAAATCATAAACACATTTGTGGTTGCAAGGTAGCAGATTGGGTGAGCTGGAACTAAAACAAATTTTGGTTCAAGAAATTGTATTTTAAGTTCTGAAGTCACACTTAATTCTTAATAATTCTTATTGTACACATGCTAATTTAAATGTAAGATGTTTACTTCATTAAAATGTCAACACTAAAATGCTGGTTCAGTTTGTTGTATTACTTTCTTCAGGTTTTGTTATATTCTATTTTCATAATTTCTAGAGCCAGCATTCAAAAGTAATTTCTGTGCTTCAAAAGAGGATCATCCTAAATTCAAATTATATGTAAATGTCAAAAAAACAAAACAAAACAATAACCATGTTGCTCTCGTACTAAACATGTGTCTTTGGGCGGGTTACTAAGTCCATGTGAGTCTGAGATTCTCCATCTGTCAAAAGGGAATCAGAATACCTACTTTGAGCAGTTGCTGATATTAACAGTAAATAAGCAATGCAGTTAGCCCAGTCATGGCAAAATAGTTGAGGCCAACAAATGTTCCTTTTCTTTATCTCTCTTCAGGTTGAATTTTGCCCAGTAGATAATCCATCTATCGTAGAGATATGCAAATGTGATTGATTCATTGATTGAAACATTCATTGTCCCATTTAAATAATGTTTAAGTATTATTATCCAGTGTATCCTGGTTTCATGCTGGATGTTGGGTAAATAATGATGAGAAGAAACAGGCAATTCCAACTTTAATGGAGAAATGGACATTAACTAAAGGTCTAAAAATATGTATAAAATTTTAAAAAATCAGTGTTGTGAAGTAAATATATACAGTGCCAGGAGATTTTATAACAGGGAGAGCTGTCTTTTTGGAGGGTATGTATAAAATGTCAGGAAATATTTCTCCTAGGACGTAACAATGAGCAGAGTTTCAAAGTATGCATGTGTGCACATACGTGTATGTACCCATGTATGTGTATGTGTTCTAATAGTAATAGTGGTTAAGGTGGTGATGGTAGTGGTGGTGTAGGTGATGATGATGGTAGAAGAGGAGAATCAAGAGAATGAAATAAATAAAAAGATGAGTGTCTGGGAACAGCATGTGCAAAGTCCTGATGTAGGAAACAGTACTGAATGGAGAGTATGGTTTACCAAGGGAAGGCTGATGAGGCTGAGATGAAGAGAGTTAACAGGAAGCCAATAACTTGAGATGAGGCTAGAGAGGAGAGCAGAGGCCAACTGGGGCAAAATCTTATAGACATATTAGGTCTTCTACCCTAAGAACAATGGGAAGCCACCTGATTTTAAGAGAAAGCTTAATAGGCGTGTGTGATTCAGTGCAGGGACTGCTACTGCTCTTAATCCTCGAAATATCCTGCAAACCAGGTTGGCTTTAGTGGGTGGAAAAGTGAGGCCCATACATATTCAAATTTGTATTTTGAAAAGATTTTTTTTTGTCCTCCAATGCTTTTGCCAGAAGATAGAAATTCAGAGTATGTGTATTTATAGCAAACACATAGATGTTTCTTACCTAATAGGTGTGTTTTCATCATATTATTTTTGCACATATGATTCCTGCATGATCTGAGATCTTTTAATATTCTAACATACCTTATGTTCTAAATCTGTGACACTTAGAAAGAAATGTTGATTTGAACATCCAAGTACAGGTGCTAATTTGACCTAGCAAAAACGTTTTTTAAGGAAATCTCTCTGCACTGAGCACTTGCATTATCTAGCAATGGAAAATTCAAACAATAGAATGATTATCATAAATTCCTTGGGACACCTTTGTTATCAGAGATGAAACCTTGGTCACCTGGCTTTAAGGGAAAGCTTAATGAGCATGTGATTCAGTGCAGGGACTGCTACCCCTCTTAATCCTAGAAACATCATGGGAACCAGGTTTGCACCAGTAATGAATTTTTATAATGTGAATCTTTGATTTTGTTTTGCTGGTAAGAAATCCTTATTTGGAGATGCTATGTATGTGAGTTTAATCTCATTTTCCATTCCTTCTTGAAGTTTTCTAGGTTAACCACCTGAAACAGTGGTTACTATAATCAGTAAATATTTATAACAAAAGTATAAGGAATTGGGGAATTTCCATGTGGTATGTGTCTTCACAACAAAGGTCATGTTTCAATATGATATGAATGCATCTCCATCCAAACTATTATTTTAACTGTATGTTTTTCCCTCAGTCAGCAATTTATGTAACACATATAATTCATTTCATCCAACTCCTAATAAGAGGCCCCCAAATTAAACTTGAATTATTATTTACACCTTCTCAATATACAGTAAATATTAATTGAATTTAATGACTAACCAAGGAGATTTTAGTCATTGCAACTGACTACATGATTATATGTAAAGGATTCAGGAATAAATAGAGGGGTCTCTTAGTATGAAGTTTAAATAAATACTTAATGGTAAAAGAAAAATTTGTCTGCAGATTTTTTACAATTAACTTTTAAAAGTTATTATCCCCTTAGGCTCATTCCATTCTGTTCCCTTTGTTTTGAAACACTATTATGACATACTATTGTCCAGTAATGGAATGTCAGAAAATAGTACATATGAAAGACACAGTTCATTCCACTGTTAAATATTGCATCATTGAAGGGTTTAAATCCTAAGACATCTCTTTGATTTACCAACCCAGCCCAACTTCCTATTTGCTCTCTGCTCCATTTAGTAGATTTCATGCTGGATGTTGGACTAAACAAGTCAAACACCTGCAAGAGCCCTCCATCTGTGGCCAGAAAAGTGTTGCTGGTGCTATATTTTTGATGTTTAGGAAGAAATATTGATCTGCGTAACTAAGATGGTCATAAGGTAATATGGGGTTGTACTCATCTGATTCTCACAAAATCCCAGGATTCTCAGAACTATACTGATGTGCTGGAGATGCTACTTAGGAAGTTAGAGGACCAGCATGCATGTCCTTTGGACTGATGTATGCCACCCCATCATCTGCTTGACCAACAACTTGAGCCAAGACACACCTGGGATATTTTGGTACTACCTAGAGACCCTAACTAATTTTGCCAGGGTAGATTGGTAGAATCCAAGGAAATAGTTTTGCAAGTGACACAATTGGTGGATGATATAATAAGATAATGAAGACTAAAATAATTTGAAGAAGGGAAATGGAGATATTTAGGCTAAGTTGCTCTACTTGCTATTCTTAGAAGTGTTTTCTTCCATTTAGAAGAAGAACCATTGATTATAGAATCACTGCTTTGATGCATTAATTTGATCATTCTAAACAAGTGATGAATATTGTCTTATGTTATTTGCCTCCATTACTTATCCTGACTATCATAGAATAGCTAAGAATACTTCTTAAGAATGAGAGTTTGCAACTACCAGTCACATAGGCCAGTATCTGTTAACAAAATGCTAGTAATTTTGTTCATTAAATTTTAAACACTCAATCTATTATTCCATTAACACCTATTGAAATGGACAATAAATAAGGGCCAGATATAATCATGAGTAGGAGGGCTCCCTTTCTACTGAGAGCCTATGGAAAGGACAACTAGATTCCAGAAAAATGTTCAACTTCCAGTATGGCATACTAGGAGAAATAAATTGGGGGTCTAAAGAATAATAAGCAGGAAAAAATTTGGTTTTCTCTGAGGCAATGATTAGTTGAAGCCTACATAAATAAACCAATTACAACATTTTGACTGAACTGAGAATAATTACCCTCTGGTGGTCAACTCTTGTGGAAAAATTATGAAGTTCAGACTGTAAGCTGTCTAGGTTCTTATTAACTTGCATTGTTCTTAACTGAACTGATTACAGGCAAAAAGGTCAAAACGTTTTGGCCTACCTAGGTAGCCAGATGGTCTAGAGATAATTTTTTAAATACCAAATGACTATATTTTATAGTGTCCCTTAGGAAACCAGGTTTTAAACTGTGTCCAAAGAGAACTTGAATAGTTTTAGTTTTTTGATGTTTCTTTTATTTTTTCTTGATTATATATTATAATCATTTTGTTAGAAAAATCCAAACACTACAGAAATATAACTAGATTGCATGTTTATAATCTTCCCTTCTCTCTTAGATAACTATTTCTAAGAGTTTTTGTATACATATTTAGATTTTTGATACATGTAAATATATATAATCTTTTTGCTAAAATGAAAATTTACAACATGCTTTTCAATAAACTTTTTTTTGCCTAAAATTTCTTAGCTATTTATGTCAATACATGTCACTCTATGAAGTTGTAAACAGAACAAAGCAGCGTACTCCCCAAGAGGACTCTTAGATATTTGAAAGTTGCCCATAATGATAAAGTAAATTTATGCCTGACTTTGCTTGAGGAAACTAACATCCTCTCCATCCTGCGTTGAGGACAAGTGTGTTTCTTCGTGGCTGACACATATCTTGGCAGAGCTCATGTGCTGCAACAGCACACAGTATGGGGTAAGGAACAGGATTTAAGTGACTTACTAATCAAGTGTTGGCAAGAAAAGAGGAGACTTATAGCACCCCAACCCTGCATCATCCCTCTTGCTGTCCTCTTTAAGGTGAACATAAAGGGGAATCTTCCCAGCTGGGGTACAGATAAACCTTTTGGTTACCAGACTGTGTGGGTTTAGATGTCAACCCTTTATAGGAATTGTCTAGGAAAGTCAGCTGTCCAGGCTTGGAGACCTTAAGCAAGCATGGGAAGTTGCAGCCCCCTTTTTCCAGGAAAAGGCAGTCACCAGTCTTCTTGGAAGCTGCATTTCGGGGAGGCCTGTCCAGATGGGGTGGGGGACACTGCCAACAGTTAGCATATTGTCCAGACGACCCAGCATGAGCTATCTAGGTCATGTTCAGACAGTACCACTCATGGTGTTCTCTTGCTTAAATCATTGTTCCTGAGTAGCCTTGAATAGTAACAAATGTGATATCTTGACATCATCTGGTGGTTGGGTGACAACTGTTTAATTTTCTAACACAGTTGGTTTCTGCAATGCTTTTTCCCAAGTAATTTAGTATTGTCTTATCCTGCTATGTCTTCCACAAAGGGAAGATAATAAAATCCTTTTAATTATCATAATGTTTGTCTACTTAAATTTTGCATTAAAAATTTGTTATAATTGTATTAAAATACTTTCACAGTAAAGTTTTAATCCATTTTCCTATGAATTTTTCAGTTTTTAATATTTCTTTCCCATTTATATCCATATAACATATATTTAATTAAAGTACATAGAGTATATATCAAGTATATATAGTATACATACTATGATTTTGTCTGTTTTCTACTTTCTTTCTATTTATGTGTATTTTCTGTATTTTTTTTCCATATGGTCATCATTTTTCACATGTAATGTCTTCTTAACATTACAGGGCCGTTCTAATTGTTAGAAGGCCTCCTTACACTGATGTGTAGTTTGACTGATTATAAAGTCCGTTATTGTTCTTGGTTTTATGTCTTAACAAGGCATCCCCTCCTCAAACCTTAGAGGAATTGGTATCTGGCTTCACATGCTCTAGGGGATGCCATGTAAAATTTTGTAGAAATGTTTAGTATTCTGGCATGTGGTCTCTAGCTTTGTCAGATGGTTAGAGATCTATGATTAGTTAAGAACCACACAGGACTGAGTTAGTTTCCTTCCATAACTAAAAGAATTGAACAGATCAAGTAAGTTAAGTGGATGCCTCATTAGCACTACAAAGTTTATTAAAATTAGAGTCACAATCTAATACAGGGCTTTGGACTACTAATATCTGCTAGCTACCTTTGGCATGATTTCAGTATCATAGGATCATCTGACCAAACAAGCTGTCTCAAATTCCTGTTAGATTTAAATCTTGGCTGTACATTGGTTTCACCTGGGTAATATTAAAATACTGATACCTGGCCCCAACCTGGATAGATTTAGATTCTATTAAATTGTCAGGGTTATGGTTCAAGCCAGGGTGCATCCAGAGTTGACAACCACTGGATTTGAAGTCAAAATGTATAGAACGTGAGACAGGTAAGCACTGTTGGAACTATCAAGACAGAGACAAATTCCAGGCACTAGCCTCTGCTTCTATCTTTTCTGATGTAAGAATATTTCACCTCTCAGAAAGATGCTTCCCAAATGAATACTTTTAAAAATTAACTTGTTTTTTTCAGTACCATAAGACAGGGTAAGGAAAAAAAAAGTTTGCTTGGTTTTTAAAAATACTATTGTTTTGGCCGGGCGCGGTGGCTCAAGCCTGTAATCCCAGCACTTTGGGAGGCCGAGGCAGGCGGATCACGAGGTCAGGAGATCGAGACCATCCTGGCTAACAAGGTGAAACCCCGTCTCTACTAAAAAATACAAAAAACTAGCCGGGCGAGGTGGCGGGCGCCTGTAGTCCCAGCTACTCGGGAGGCTGAGCCAGGAGAATGGCGTAAACCCGGGAGGCGGAGCTTGCAGTGAGCTGAGATCCGGCCACTGCACTCCAGCCTGGGCGACAGAGCGAGACTCCATCTCAAAAAAAAAAAAAAAAAACTATTGTTTAAACTTTAACAGAATTATCTTCTCAAAATACTTAGAAATGAAGTGAGTAAATGTTTCTTCTTTGATAACAGTGAAACCAAAGTTAGAGAGTACAGTTAAGAGCGCCATTAAATAACAGTTTTTCTTCTACAAAAATAATCATCAAACATTCATTATATATTCAATCATGAAGGAAAATACACATTAAATTATTTATACTAAGATAAATATAAACTTCTATTAGCAAACAACTTCATAGTTAATTTTTCTAATTTACCACTTTCTGCATCTCATGCAAATTATGTCTTCTTACATTGCCAATAAAATATGAGATTGGGGAAGGATGCTGCAATATCCATGAGGAAGTTTCATGTAAGTGCAAGCAATCAGATTTCATTGCAGATCTAGAGTAGTAACACTGACAGAACTATGTCAGTTAAGCGTTCTGCATTATTTTTATGTATTGTCATTTTCTTTTGGTAGAGGAGAGATGGAAGATTTACCTTGTCCAGAAATAGTTGTAGATTAACAAGGTACCAATCTGTTTTTGTTTTGTTTTGTTTTGTTTTTGTCCCTTGCTTAACCATTAATTTCCAAAATATACTATTTTTTAACATGCCAAGCAGTCCAACAACGATGGAAGCTGCAGGGATTCCAGCCACAGACAGAGCCTGAGAGAACAAACAAAGCAGAGCATAAATTCAGAAAGCAGGCAAGTAGTGCCTACTTTGTTTCAGTGATACGTCCTCTGCAGTTCAAAATCATTCAGTATCTCTTAATTAATTCATACACTATTTCCAGTGAGGTTTCACTGATAATTCCTTAATGTCAAGAGCTCTCTCTGTATCTTAAGCAGTTAGTGTCATTGAAATTTACTTACGCAATAACTCATTCGCCAAATATGTATTGAAGGCTTATTATGTGCAAGGCATGTCCCAAGTTCTGGTAATACAATGATGAACAAAATTAATAGTTTCTTTCTACACAGTTTTTGGTTTATCAAATTTATTAGATGTTTAACAAATGTTCATTAAGTGCATAAATAGTAAGTAAAAGATTCAAAGCAGCAATCTCAGCACCATGTGTCAAAACCACAGAATGGCTGTATGTTCTTTTTAAATCCATGTATTGTATTATATTAGAAGGCAAAATAATAAGAAAGCAGATCAGAAGTCAATATGGTCCAGTAACAAGAATAAGGAGTCAGATTAGAATCACATTAACGGTTCACATTTTCCTAGTTATGGGACTTGTAGGTCATTGTCTTTTCTTTCTTTCTTTAATTTTCTTTTCTTTCTTTTCTTTTCTTTCTTTCTTTTTATTTTATTTTATTATTTTTTTTCAGACAGAGTTTCACTTTTGCCGCCTAGGCTGGAGTGCAATGGCATGAAATCGGCTCACTGCAAACTCTGCTTCCTGGGTTCAAGCGATTCTCCTGCCTCAGCCTCCCAAAGTAGCTGGGATTACAGGCCCCAACTACCACGCCCAGCTATTTTTATTTTGTATTTTTACTTGAGATGGGATTTCACCATGTTGGCCAGGCAGGCTTTGAGCTTCTGACCTCAGGTAATCCACCCTCCTCAGCCTCCCAAAGTGCTGGGATTACAGAGGTGAGCTCTATAGGTCTCATTTGCATTATCTGCAAATGTGAACAATGGTATTGTGTTCATTTATCTATTCAGCCAACTTTTCCTAAACATCTCTTAAGTATAGGGTTCAGAGATATTGTAGGTTGGGTTTCAGATCACCAAAATAAAGTGAATATTGCAATAAAGTGAGTCACATACATGTTTTGGTTTCCCAGTACATACAAAAGTTATGTTTACACTATAGTCTATTAAGTATTCAATAGCATGTCTAGAAGACAACATGCATACCTTAATTTTAAAATATTGCATTGCTAAAAATTGCTAATGATCATCTGAGCCTTCAGCAAGTAGTAATCTTTTTGCTAGTGGGAGGTCTTGCCTTGATGTTGATGGCTACTGATTGATCAGGGTGGTGGTCGCTGAAGGTCAGAGAAGCTGTAGCAATTTCTTAAAACCAGGCAACAATAAAGTTTACCACGCTGATTGACTCTTCTCTTCATAAAAGACTTCTCTGCAGCATGTAGTATACTGTTTGATAGGATTTTACCCAATGTAGAACTTTCAAAATTGGAGTCAATCTGCTCAAACCCAACTGCTGCTTGATCAGCTAAGTTTATGTAATATTTTAAATCTTTTATTATCATTTCAACAATTTTTGCAGCATCTGTACCATTAGTAGATACCATCTTGAGAAACCACTTTCTTTGCTCATCTGTAAGAAGCAACTTCTCATCCCTTTTTTGCTGAGATTGCAGCAATTCAGTCACATCTTCAGGCTCTACTTCCAATTCTTGTTCTCTTGCTATTTCTACCATATCTGCAGTTAATTCCTTCACTTGAACCCTTCAAAGTTATCCAAGAGGGTTGGAATCAACTTTTCTCAAACTCCTGGTAATACTGATATTTTGAACTCCTCCCATGAATCATGAATGTTCTTAATGACATCTAGAATGGTGACTCCTATCCAGATTTTTAATTTTCTTTGCCCGTATACATTAGAGGAATCACTATAGGAAGTAGCCTTCCCAAATGTATTTCTTAAATAATAAGACTTAAAATACTCTTTGAATCATGGCTGCAGAAAATATGTTGTGTTACGCATAAAAACAACATGAATCTTCTTGTGTATTGTATTAGTCTGTTTTCATGCTGTTGATAAAGACATACCCAAGACTGGGAAGAAAAAGAGGTTTAATGGACTCAGCTCCACATAGCTGGGCGGGACTCACAGTCATGGCAGAGGGCAAGGAGGAGCAAGTTACATCTTACATGGATGACAGCAGGCAAAGAGAGAGCTTATGCAGGGAAACTCCCATTTTTAAAGCCGTCAGATCTTGTGGGACTCATTCACTATCAGTAGAACAGCACAGGAAAAACCTGTCCCCATAATTCAATCGCCACCCACTGGGTTTCTCCCACAACACATGGGAATTGTTGGGGTTATAATTCAAGATGATGTTTGGATGGGGACACAGCCAAACCATATCATTCCACCCCTGGTACCTCTCAAATCTCATGTCTTCACATTTCAAAACCAATCATGCCTTCTCAACAGTCTCCCAAAGTCTTAACTCATTTCAGCATTATCTCAAAAGTCTGCAGTCCAACATCTTATCTGAGACAAGGCAAGTCCCTTCCACCTGTGAGCTTGTGAAATCAAAACTAAGTTAGTTACTGCCTAGATACAATGGGGATACAGGCGTTGGGTAAACACCATACTAAATGGGAGAAACTGGCCAAAACAAAGGGGCTACAGCCCCCATGCGAGTCTGAAATCCAGCAGGGCAGTCAAATCTTAAAGCTCCAGAATGATCTCCTTTAACTCCATGTCTCACATCTGGGTCGTGCTAATGCAAGAGGTGGGTTCCCATGGTCTTGGGCAGCTCCGCCTTTGTGGCTCTGGAGGGTGCAGTCTCCTTCCCAGATGTTTTCACAGGCTGGTGTTGATTGTCTGCCACTTTTCCACACACACACAGTGCAAGCTGTCAGTGGACCTACCGTTCTGGCATCTGGAGGATGGTAGCCCTCTTCTAACAG